CGATGAGGCTGCTCATCTCCACACCATGTCAGGAGTGAGACGAGGGGACAAGCCAGCAGTGGGAACTGAGTTAGATCTGTTGTGGTAGGTGCAGATGGCGGGCTTGGTGTTGCTGTTAAAAATGACATGGGAAATGCTCCATCACGTTGATGTCAAGAAGAGTAGGTTAACAAGCAAGACACCATGGTACAGGCTGAGTTTTGTTAAATAGACGTCTTTGGCTGTCTAAGTGATTTCAGTTTTCTTTGTTAATTTTTAGTACATATATGTGTTTTTGTCAACAATAAACATACATCTTTTTGTAATCAGAAATCTTTTGAAGAAGAGGTAGACCCTGTCTGCCAGTGAGGAGGAGGAGGTGGCTGTGATCACAGACAGCTACTATGAGGTGGAAAGTCATCATGTGCTCTGCCTTCAGGGTGACGTCCTGTCTCACCAGGGCCCTGAGTGGCAGTGCACCCTTCTTAAGACGATTCCATCCTTTCCACCCCTGCTAAGAAGCAGTCCCCTTTCAGTGTGAAACTGTCTTTCCAGCTGACACTCCCTCTGTGCTGGTGTGAGAGCCTCAGCCACACGCTGCCTGCTCCATGCCCAGCCTTCTGGTCACCATCACGGCTGGCTCTCCCTCTGTCAGTCTTTCTTTTCCCTGTGGGAGGTTTGGCCATGGCCTCATCCCCTCTTTTTGAGCCCTCATGGCTCGGCTCAATGTAGTTCCTACTTCCTTTGAGTTTGTAGAGCCCTCATTGGGCGCATCTTGGCATGAACTGAACAGATGAACTCTTTTTTGCTATTTTTACACTCATTATTATTATTTTTTTTTTTTCTTTGCCAACAGTATTATAAATTCCTTGAACGTAGGAGCTGGTCATATGCCTCCACATCTCATTTAGCTCCTAGTATGGTGCCTTGGCTTAGACAAAAGGTGCATGCAGTAATCGCAGGTAGGCTTGTGGAAAGCAGTGCTGGCTTCTCTCTTTGCAGCCTGCCAGGGCTTTCTCTATCAGTGCTACTTAATCACTGAACCACTTCTCATTCTGGAACCGCGCCCCCCCCCATTTTTTTTAATTGAGACATTTATTTAAAGACAAAAGGGAGTCCAGACTGTTACTAGGTGGTTCTGTTTAACAGATAAGCAAGTGAGTACTCAGTCCTGGAGAACAAAGGGGAATGCACTAGGATCCCGGGCTGGAAACCACCCACCGTGAGGGAGAGAAGGAGCCGTGAGGGAGAGAAGGAGCCGTGAGGGAGAGAAGGAGCTGTGAGGGAGAGAAGGAGCCGTGAGGGAGACGCTCCCCTCCACTTTAATAATGAATCTCTTCCTAATCTAGGTGGGAACCTGTTCACTGAGATCTGAAATGGAATGAGTCACGTGTCTCGAGGTAGATTTAGAGCATTGAGTCTTTAGAGAAGACATTTGACCTCTCTAAGTCCTGGTTATCCTTACTTTGAGCTTTTTATTTTGAGAACGTTTCAAAGGTAACAGTTGCAAGGATAGTAGAGAGCACATGGGCACACCTTTCCCTCAGATTCACCAGTTCTCTCACTTACAGGCATCTTCTTGGTGCTCATGCTTAATGATTGGCAGCTGAGTGTTGTCTTGCTCCCTCCTTCTTCCAGATAATTTGGCCCCACAGGCTTTCTGTGTGGGAATCTGCCAGGGGTGGGGGAGTAGGTGGGAACAGGTGAGGTGTGACCTGGCTGCAGGTCAGCCTTTGAGCTTAGCCACTTGTGTCCAGTCCAAGAGAGAGACAGCAAGGAGGGTGAGTGGCATCCAAGTCAAAGGTCTTGGATCTGAAAGGCCCCCTGCCTCTGGGGCTCCTACTGTTCTCAGCCTGTGTACCCACCCTTACCCCTTCCTGTGCAGGCTCCGGTGGATGTGAGAAGGCAGTGCAGTGCTTGTTGGTTAAGAAACGATTTATCCTCATCCCTACTGTCCTCTTCTGCTCTCCCCTTTCTAACTTCCCTTCAGTCCTTATCGAGGTGACATTTGAAGAAGTGATCTGGCTGCTTTGTGCAGGATGGATCTCTTGTTAAAAAGTAGAAAGACATACCCTAAGAAGCCCTGATGAATCACCCTGGGCCCTTCAATCACCACTGGTCTGCTTTGATTCATGCTAGGGAGGATTCATGCCTGTGCAAGTGTTGCGGCATCCCTGCTGGGCTCTGTAATAGGAATTTGGGCACGAGACCATTCAAATCCAAACCCAGGGATGGGGCAGGGGTAGTGTCCTGGAGCCAGGGCTCAGGAGCTCTTGCTCATTTCATGAAATGTTTCTTTTATTTATGAACTGTTTCTTTATATTGAATATAACCTGCTATGGTCTACAATACAAGGACATGAATCTTGAGCATGATGCTGCTAGATGAATGTTTACACATATATTTGTCCCCATAGCCACCACTCAGACCTGTATATTGGACAAGACCAGCACTCAGCAGGCTCTTCCCTGCACTTCATTCGGTGCACTCCTCTGACTTTCCTGGCCATGGACACATTTGTTCTTAAATTTCCTGTCATTGGAATCACACTCCATGCAATCTTGTGTCTGGCTTCTTTTATTCAGCATCTTGTCTGAATTTTGTCTTTGTAGGTAGCAGTCATTCTTATTTATGTGCTGTTTTATTCCATTGCATGACTTTTCTGTCATATGCTGGTGGATACTGGGGTTAGTTCCAGTTGTTGGCTCTGTGAATACAGCACCTGGGCTGTTTTGGGTCATATTTTCTGATGGGTACATGTGCTTACTCTCTGGGCTGTGCACCCAAGGCTGGGTCCAGGAGTGTGGCCTTCAGCTGCAGCACTGTCTGCCAAACAGTTTTCCCAGGTGGTACCAATTTACGTTCCCACCAGGGAATTCTGCTTCAGACATCCTTGCCAACATCTGTCATTGTCAGGGAACCTGCCTTTATAACAAGCATACTTATTGATCTTGAATGCACACTCAGATTTGATACCCACTTGACGCAATGACAAAAGGAACGAAATGGGTGGTTTAGGAAGGAAAGAATTTTACGACTATGTGTGTGTGTTTTGTATGTACATACACGCAGAAGGAAGGGAGGAGAAAGACACCCCACAGGGAGATGAGCCCTGATTCTGTGCTGATTCTGAGGGGTGTGAGGTAATGATATGCAGTGTGTGTGTGGAGGGGGTGTCAACTCTTCCAAGGAGAAAAGCCCAAAAGCCAGTGGGAGGTGCATGGAGCAAACCTGAAAGATCAATCAGCTGTAAGAGCAACGTGGGTGGGCTGTCCTCATCCTCAGGTTGGGGCGCAGAGGAAGCCGAGCAGAGGGCCCTGGCAGAGGGCTGTGGTGGGCAGAGCAGATGTGGAAAAAGACTAGGGTGAGAGGATGTGGGCACAAGAAAGCCAGTCCCAGCAGCTCAGGCCTGTCTCCACCTCCTGTTTTCATGAGTGTGTGCAGGCCTTGTGGGCGCAGTACTTCATTCCCTTCCAGATAACATTGTAGAGGAGTCCAAAACAGGAAGGTGCTTTCCATACTCTCCTTGCCCAGAGATGGCCGTTACATTTTGATCTGTTTTCTCCAGTTCTGTTTCTGTGTGCATATAACTTTGTTTGTATGTATTTCGATTAGGTAAATACATGTAGATATATCTGTAATTTCAAATGGAATCAAGCTCAGAGTTCAGTTCGAGTTGTGACTTTCTCAAGGTTAAGGTTGTGTTCATCTCTTGGATGGACTCTGGGCTGGAAGTTTTGTGCCCGCATCCCAGGTTAAGCGAGGCACGGACCACGCACACACAGCACTGTCTGACAGATGGGATTTTTCCATATAGTCAGGCTCTGCCTGGGTAGCTGAGGACTGGACCAACCTCTGGTTGTAGGAGCAGATTTTTTTAAGACTTATTAGTTACCATCCTCTAAAGGCTCAAGCTCCTCCAGGCTGAGGGGGACTCTGCAGCTGGAATAGCTCGGAGTGTATTGTCACTCCCTGAGTGATGGCCTGGAAGGCCTCACTGGGGAGCACACTAGGAGGTAAACTTCCTCTGGGCATCTCTGCACAGTCATCCTGCATGCTTGACATGAGCATTTTAGTCACTTCCTTGTTAAAAGCTCCACTATGGACTTTTCCAAACATTCAAAAAGTAAGAGTAATAGAAAAATATCTCTCAGTTACTTCGAGAGATAACATATGGCCAGTGTTTCGCCCATTCCTCCTCACCCCTTCCTGGACTGTTTTAAATCATCCCAGGCACCGTATGATTTCAGCAGCCAGTACTTGAGTGCACATCTCTAAAACAGGGTTTCCTTCCCACTCCCAATACCACAAAATCTAGTGAGATAAGCATTTTAATAAATTCTTGGGTTGGCATTGAGTGTCCTTCCCACATAGTTGCCTGGTGGTGAGTGGGACATACTCGAGGCTAGAACTAGGGGAGCTAGAGTGGTCTCAGGCCTGAGAGCCCAGAGGGCAATGCCTGACAGAGATCAAGAAGCCTCTCCAGCTCTCCTGGTCCTGTTGAGGCCAAACCTCAGAGAAGCTTGTGTAGTCCTCTGAACTAGCTCAAATAACAACATGTCCTTTTAAGGGCACTGATATTTTCTTTAAGTGTAGTTCTTTCATTGATCTAGTTCATTGGGCATTGAGAAATCTTGAGAGCAGAAATTGGAGCACTTAAACAAACCGAGAGGAATGTGAAAGGAAAGCGTTTGAAGTTTCTTGTGTTTGTATGATTAAAGATTCTTTCTGCAAGACTAAAATAACCTTTCCTACAATATAGGTAGATGGTTAACTTCCAAAAATACACATTTTTATCTTGTTAAAAAATACTTTTATGTTTCTTTAAAAAGTTAGAGAATCAGAATGCAGAGGTGTTCTAACAAAGAAAAGGAAGAAGTTACAGTCTGGGATATAGTTTGGCAAACATGCTTCCAGCTACCTGTGAAGTCTAGGAGGCTCCCTCCCTGTTGGGGTCAGGTGTTTGTTTTGGTTACTGTTGGGGACTGCACAATTTGTGTCTCATCATTTCCTGCCTCCAGATGAGACCATCTGGGGCACTGTGTGCAAGAAACTGCTACCTGCCGCAGAACGGGAGAAGACCAAGGGAGACACTGGAGGCCACTCTGTAGCTATCTGGGGACCTGGTGAAGGTTGGCTGACTAGCTGAACAGTCCTGCACTGGTGGAGGACAGGCAAGCGACGTTTCTGGCTCTGGGTATGGTGAGGCCTTCTCAGGTGTTTAGCGATGGAGGGGAGACTGCTTTGCCCAGTGCCTCTCTGACAGCACTCAGACTGAGCGGTCCTCTGGGAGAACTGGGAAATGTATGGTAGGCTTTTCAGCACACTCCTGGGGGTCAAAATTGCTGATAAAGCGGAAGCTTCCTGTCTCCATGTTGACATTCAGGAAGGTTTAGATAAGTGAAGGAGACCTTTCTTAATAACAGCTGGCGTTACATTGAGTATTTCTCTATGGCAGAATCTGTGGTACTCTCTTTAGATGTGTTTTGTCATTTAACTTTTAATTACTTTTTATTTTATCAAAGTGATGTATGCACATAACTTTTAAAAGCCAAGGAATGACGAAAGACTTATAAGAAAGTGTGATGGTTCCTTGTTTACTGAGTCCTCCCCTGTGACTCTTTGCTCTCTTGAGTCATCCTGTTTATGAGTTTTATGAGTTATCTGTTGACTTTCTATATAGCTCCCATTGTACAACTGTTATTTCTGCTTCTGCTGCGTTCCGCCAGTGTTTTACCTTCTGGGTAAATGAATAAATGCTTATGTTTTATGTTTCCACAAATGATATTCACAGCTGAGCAGTGGCATACTGTGATCATTTGTTTTTTCCCCTAGAAAAAAATCGCCTTCTTAAAAATGTGCCTAGTTTTCTGTGTACCTGTGGCTAACTCTTCTCCTCTTCCAGTTACTTCTTGATACAATTATCCCCATGCTCAGTGCTGCCAGACAGTCAGTTCCAGCTTTTCCCCTGCACCTGCTTTCTGGAGCCCTCATGGGCGGTGGCCAGAGGTGTGAGGACAGCCCTCAGTGTGCCTGTCTCTTGAGTCGCACAGCTGCATGGCTCCAGTGTTGGGTCTTGTTTCCTATCTCCTGTGTCTTGTTCCTTTGGTTCACTCCGTTGTTCCACTAGATTCCGGAGAAAAGGCTCATGGGAGTTCAATTTCTGGAGGCTATATCAATTTGGATGCCTATAGACTTCCAGGTTAGAAGTACTTCCTCAAGGATTGAGAAGCATGTTCCCACTGCTTTCTTGTTTCTAGTGCTGCTGTTGTGATGGCCTAGTGCTTCTTTCAGCAAGCCTCCCGGTGACTCGCCTCAGTCTCAAAACTCACATCCTGCACTTCAGGGAAGGCTCCTTTAAATCATTTCATGGGAATCTAATTCCCTCCACTCCCTATGCTCACTCTCCCCAGTGATTGTTTTATTTTATTATATTTCTTTTTCTTTTTTTTTTTTTTTTAATTTTTGTTTTGCCAGGTGTTTGAATGTTGGCCCTTCATCTTTGATCTCCTGTTATCCATCTCTTTGTGTTTTAGCTCTGCTCTCTGGGTGATTTACTCGATTTTATCCCTATCTTTTCACTCTAATATGCTTTTATTTATAGGAACACTTTTTTTTTTTTGTAATTTGACTTTTCATTTTATAGCATTCTATTGTTAAATAGCTACAGTGCCTTGTCTCTATGGATAGTATAGTTTTCTTGACATTTTCTTCTTGCAGAGTTTCTGATAGCTCCAAATGACATTTTTCATGGGGTCTTTATCTGCGACATTAGAGTGTCTGGGAGCCCTTAGTTGGCTGCTTACTCCAAGAGGGGGTACTGTGAAGGTGAGTGGACGCTCTGTGTACCTGGACTTGTCTACAGGGAGGTTCACTAAAGCCTCATGTGGCTTATGGTTCTCTGAGTCTTTCCTCTAGAGCATAGTCTTCCAAATGCTGGGCTGTAGGATGAAGGCCTGGGTGCCAGCATGCTGGGCACTGCAATGGAGGCGGCCGCAGGCAGGCAGGTGGATGGGTCTCAGCAGTTAGTGTGGATCTATCTAGTCACTCTGACGGCCATACAGTCCACGTCTTTCTTTTTCCTCCCTGTGCCTTATCAACAGAGTGGGTTGACTCTAGTCCAACGACTGTCCATTTTGTGCTTTTCCAGAGAATACCTCTGTAGTGGTCTCCTGGTTTGGGAGTGGTTACCCAGTAGTGTGAACTGGGGAAGGGGATATAGTGGTGGCTTTTACCCAGGAATCCTTCCATTTATCTTCAGTCCTGAGCACCAGGCACGCCCTGTCCTGAAGCTTGCGAAGATTTGGATTAGCTTTGAGCCCTGCTTTCTTAGTTGGCTTGCTGTTTCCATCACCACGTGGTCATCAGCTTCCCAGTCTCTAAAAACACTGTTGTTGGTGCCAACACTCTCGTTCTTTGAGTTTGTGTTAGAGACAAACAAAATCTATTTTTTTTCCTGTGGTTTTAGTGGTGTTTAGAGATGGAACAAAATCACATGTGTAAGTTCAGTCCCTCATTCCAACCTGGAGATTATATCTCATTTGATTTTATTTTAAAAGTGAAAATGTTGCGGGGAATGTATTTATTTGGATTGTGACTTAAGCTCTCTTATTTTTAAGTTAAGCATATGCCCCTCATATGGCTTTGTTCTTGTTCCTCTTTTCAGAGGGCTAAAACATTACATTTTAAACTGTGTGTTTTTCATTCTGGATGATTCCTTATCCTCTCCAAATAAATTCCTGATTTTTTAAAATTTTGGCGCCTAAGAGAGTGTAATATTTTGGGGGAACAAACCAGAATTACAGTGAAAAATAGGATCTTTCCCAATTGAAAGTGTGAAACCCATAGATGTGATGAGAATCAGTGAAGGTTGTGTTTCCCTCTCAGTGCTGATGTGGTGGTTTGCTTTCCATCTGGTCTGCCTTCACTTCTGGGCCATTCTCCTGGAGGCAGGCTCATGGGATTCCTCGGTGCTAAAGCTGGGCAGACACTCGGCTCTGTCCTCATCTACGTGTGATATGTGGTTCCAGTTGACATTTGCTGGCGGGGGGGTGGGGGTGTTGGTGGAGGATGGGCACAGTTCTCTTGTGCTGGCCTGAGCTGTGCCTTATCAAACATAGAGCACCCTTGGGCTGCACCACAAATGTTGGGAGCTTGTCCCCAAACATGCTAGGGCCATTGCACAGGCCTGGGGTGAGGGTCAGATGGGCACTGCTGTGAGCATTCCGATAGAGAAGCAGGCTGCCAGAGCCTCGCCCCTCAGACGTCAGGGATGGGCTTGAGCTCCTGAGGACCTGCCCTGGATTATCAGGGTACCTTTTCTTGTCTCTGGTAGATGGCTAGTAAAAGTATGGTAGCAATCTTTTTTAATCTGGCAGAATCTTTTTCCCTTTATGGTGTCTGTTTTTGATGATGTGCTTAGGAAAGCCTTCTCATCCCACTGTTGTGTAACTATTCTCCTGCCATCATCTGCTACTTTTATGATAGAAGTTTTTACACACATACAAAGTGAAGGATCACACCTGAGCTGCAAGTTTCTGTCCAATGTGCAGGTGGCAGTTCACCAGGAGGCTTCTCTTAGGGGACTGGTGGGGGTGGCATAAACTGCCCCATTAGAGGTCAGTGGGTTAACGAGTGTTGTGGTTCACAAATCAGGAGAAATTTCCTCTGGGCTGTCGCACAGATGGATGGGCAGAAGGCATCCTGTGTACCTGAGGTTAGGAGGGTGAGTGTGTGACCCAAGGAGGAATGAACCATCCTGCTCTAGACACCAGCAGGGGACCAGAGGCGCCCACTCTCCTGAGAATTCAAGCAATTATTCAGCAATGGGAAGAGAAGCGATGAAGAGGGTAGTCTCAGGAGAAGTGAGAGGGCTCTTGGGTGTGGACCAGGGCCCTTTGGAAGGAGTGTGGACGGGAGGACCAGGCAGCAGGCAGGCGGAGGAGGCTGCTTAGAGGTTCTCCCTCTCAATATGCCTGTGCAAAAGCCCTTCCTGAGAAATGTGTGGCCCACAGGGGCTGCAGAGCTGGGTACCCGGGGGGCACACTTCCAGGTGGTTCAGAGTTTCAGTGGGAGAGCAGCTCTGCCTGAGGGATCCGTACGTAACTGACTGCTGTCATCTTCTAGAAAGGGGGTGACACAAACATCACTGCTTGTTGGAGGTATTTGGGATGCAGTCTTACTATGCAATAAGGTGGACTATTCTCTGACTGATTTCTTTAACACACGTTAGTGCTTCTTGTGTGCCGAGCTCCTGATGATGTTAACTTTTGTAATCCTGTGAAGAATGAACAGCCCTTTGAAGTGAGTACTGTCATGTCTTCCCTCTGCAGAAGTGGACATGTAGGCGCTGCAAAGTGGTGCCTTATCCAGGGTCAGTGGCTGGTGGGTGAAGCGGTAAGGGGCATACCAAGGCATTAGCACACTTTGAGCTTGCAGCTCCTGATGATGTTAACTTTTGTAATCCTCTGAAGAATGAACAGCCCTGTGAAGTGGGTACTGTCATGTCTTCCCTCTACAGATTGGACATGTAGACGCTGCAAAGTGGTGCCTTATCCAGGGTCGGTGGCTGGTGGGTGAAGCGGTGAGGGGCATACCAAGGCATTAGCACACTTTGAGCTTGTGTCCGTGTGTACCTTCCCAAGGACACACAGTTTGCTGGGTTTTTGGCTTTATCCTGAGCTGATTTGGATTACAAGGACTCGGACTGGACTCCAGTTGACAAATTGAATTTCCCAATTTGGAGACAGGGTGGAGGTGAGGGAGAGCAGGCCATGATGAGGCCGGGCCTGTCCTCACACCCTGGCCCTTTCTGTGCATCTCCCTTCATCCTGGCTACAGCCCTTTCGTAGTGCTCCTTTATGAAGAGGATGTGCTTGGGGGGTGGCGTGCCTCTCTGATGACCCAGAGCTGGCGAGTAGCCAGGTCATAATTCAAGCCCTGGTCTGTGTGATTCCGGAGCCCAGGCCCTTCATTCTCTTTGTACTTCCTGCCAGGTCCAGCTGCCCAGCACTTCTGTCTACCGCAGCACATGCCTTTCCCTGATCACCTTGGCCTCTACAGTTTGGATGTGGTTGTTCGAGGCTTGGTTTCTCCTGTGCCTGCCACGCTGATTCTCAGGTTCTGCATGTCATGTTCCATCAAAATACATGGCATTACCACTCCTTGTGTTACAAGTAGCCAGGTTTTTGTATGATGCTGATTATTGCCTGCTGAGTACAGAGGTGAATGCCATAATCTCTGCTCTCAAGGTTGCTCATAGGACAACAGGGCCGACAGACAGGAAGTCAGCAATTTCCACAGGAGGAGCCATGGGTGTGATCAGAGTGACCACAGGGTTTCCGTGAAGCGGGGAGGGGGGGTACCCGAGCGAGAAGGTCAGAGGGCCCAGCAGACAGGGCCGGTGGCGTAGTCGGGCAGCTTGCCAGGCAGCAGGGCCTAGGATAGTGTGCAGAGTGGGCGAGGGAGGCACGGCCATAGCCTGGGTTGCTCCCCACACTCACCGCCAGCTGTGTGGCTTAAGGAGCTAGCAGAGGTGGCAGGGCGGGAATGGGACCTTGAGAGAGGCCCATCCAGAGAGGTCATCACAGGTGCAGTGAGAGATGGGGTGAGGATTTGAACTTTAGAGAATGGAGATTAGATTGGGAACTGAAGAGGGAGTTCCCAGGTTTCCAGTCTGAGCGATTGGTGGGCACGGAGCTAAAGTCGCAGGGTATTTTCTTGGCGTGGCACTGCCTTCTGCTCAGGCGAGGTCTGTTACAGTAAGGGCCTCATCCAGTCCCTGGTGAGGGAACTCACAGGGCTTGTGTAATAGGTCAAGTCCTGCCTCAGAAGGATCTGGTCTAATCCAAATACCAGTGGAACCCTGACTGGGCAGACAGGTGTAACTGTGGTGACCAGGAAGAAACTAGAATGAAGGAGCTCGTGGAGTCCGGGTCACAGCAAAAGGCCATGTGCTCTCAGCTGGTATCAGGCCTCCACCCATCTTCTCAGAGGGCTGGTTGTGTCCAGGCAGTGGCCACCACACAGAGCCTTTTTGTTATGGTACTGACATCTCCCTGGCAGCTTTAGGTTTGGTGGTGGCTGCCTTGGTGTTGGAACTGTGGCAGGATGGCCATTTAGGGTCTGCTCTGGTGAGCCCTGACACTGGTTTTGCTCCCTGACCTCCCCCAGCTGAGACCTCAGGCTTGCTTGTGTGAGGGCAGAGCTCACCTTGAAGTATTGGTTCTTTTCAGTTATGTCTCTGAGGCTGTAACCTCTGTATTTGGGGTTGTCTCTTTGTGTGGTAGTTTGCCTTTGTTTAGGGACAGTTGCTGGAAGGGATTTGTTGTTTTCTGGAGGTGGAGGCTGAGAAGTGGTCATTCAGGTTCGGCTGTTATGGCAGGCATTTTGGGGACCGAAGCAAAGCCCAACTCAGGAAGAGTAGAGGGGGCTTTGGTGACCAGCTGGTCCTTCCCCTGTGCAGGACTGCTCCCAGCATGGGACTGGGTCCCGGTGACAACCTCATACAGTGGATATGGTAGGTCCCGAGTACAAAGGAGGGACACCACACGTAAGCACAGGTATGAAATGCTATGCAACATGCACTTAGAACCCCGATAATGGACAGGTACCTCTGACAAAATGCTGAGATGGTTGAAAAGGAAAGAACAGGCCCCGCTCCTTGGGGGAAAATGTAGGATAGTAACAGCAGAACTGCCTGGTTTCTTTTTTGCCTCTTCTTCTGTTTTATGGAGCATGATCTGCAGACTACAAACAGGAGCAAAAACATTTTAAAAAATATGGTTTGCAGAACTGAAAACAGTGCTCAGGGTGCCTGTTTATTCTTCAGCCAACAAATACACAGAGCCAGTTTGGGCAGGCTCTGAGCGCAGCAGTGGAGGGGACCAGTGCGTGACATTGGCACTGTACTGCCTCGCAGGGCCCTGGTGCCCGGCCAAGGAGCTGCCTTTTTCCTTGGCTCCGTACCTGTGCAGCCCCTTTCATAGCTCACAGGCAGAACTGGACATTTATCTCAATTCTGTTTCCTGTTATTAAGGTGTGTGTTCTAGCTTGTGAAGATATGCCTGTTTTTGGCCTCTAGTGTTGTCAGTGCTCCTCAGGCTCTGAGTCACTGACAGCGGTGCCCATGCAGTCCCTGTGCTCATCTGTGATGTTGCCCTGACCAGGGCTCCTCCAGCAGATGCCCTTGCACCTGGTACCTTCGGGCCTGCTGAGGTCCCCCCACCTCAGAGCTATTACAGTAAGTCCGTGTCTGTGTCTTATCTCTGTGGATGTGCCAGGTGTCTTTGCTGGGGTCAGGATGCAGTGTCTGTGTGGGGCCTGTGAGTCTGCTGACCCAATCAAAAATGGCCAGCCAGCAGCTTGGAGGACTGCTTTTATCTAGCCAAGAGCCTAGCTAAGCCCTCGGGGATCACTGCTCTTAGGCAGAGCCCATCTGTGTAATTGAGTCTCACCCTCAAAGCCCTCAGCAGCCTCTCTGTCTCTCTGTGCCTCACACGTTGGCTCCTGGCTCTACCTTCTACCCGTGACCTCTTCACTGCCCACCTCGTCAGCCTCCAGGCTGTCCTGCTGGCTGGCAAGGGCCCTCTTGCCGTGTCCACTGCTCTGCTCTGGGTCCCTGCATTGGTCCCCATCTCTGTGGCAGGGTGTGCCTTACACTGCTGTTGGAAGGTAGGAAAGGGAACAAGTACTGTCCTGGGGGTCACAGGTGAGTTACCCTTCTGAAGATGGGTCTGCTCAGTCACTTCTCTTGTCGGCAATGCTCAGTGACTTAGAGCCTACCAGGTGACATCTCTCAGTCTCCACATGTGGAGTGCCTGCCCCATGCCAGCCTCAGCACATCAGTGCCTGGTCCTCCTGGCCTGCCAGCCTCGCTTCCCCATGCGTTGGATCTCAGATTGTCCTCATCATTTCTCTCACCTTTCTTGTGGCTGTGGTCACATATTTCCTTGTGTGTGCATCTGCTCTACCCTGGGTGCTTTGCCAGCGGGAACCTGTTGCTGCCTCCTTACCACAGGCTTGAGGAAGTAGATGGGGTAGGGACCCCAAACTCACATATGTTGAATGAGTTATCTAACAATGTCGTGAGTCAGTGTTATTTTATTTTTCTTTATATAGTAATGTAGACTTGTCCATCTCTTAACATTTAGCTTCCTTTCTGTGATTTCTGTAAGAATCACAGACCTGATCCTGCAGTCCCAGGTGCACACTTTTTCAGTAGCCTGAGATCTTTTCATTTGTTTGGAGTGGTCAAAAAGCTTTCTAGCACCAGCTGGACTGGGCTTATTTTATTCTTTCGGGTGAGGCAGCAGAGCCCTGACATGCTTGTTCATTTGTTTATCAGAAGGCCCAGCACTGGGAGACAAGTAAGAAGGCAGGCTGTGAGCAGACAGGCCAGGCCTCGGCACGTGAGCCTAATACACCCCTTCTCTTCTAACAAATGCACACGTGTTCTTATCTTTGTGTGTGCGTGTTGGGGGGGAGGGGTGTATGTGTGCTGCTGTTTAGAGGGAGCTTATGTTTAGCCAGTGTGCATGGCTCTATCCCGACAGAGCATCAGATGTGTGATAAGATTCACTCTCTTACTGTACTTGTGTTGGCAAATGCGGTTTTAAGATGTTTTCCACATGTGTGTGGTCTATCTCCTCCTGTCCCCAGCTAAAAGTTATTGAAGTTGAGACTTATCCTCTGAGTCCCATCTGGAGAACTTGCGTGTCCCACATAGGGACCTTTGCCTTGGGAGGGACTGAGAGACGACTTTTCATGGCCCCTTTATTTTACAGAGGAGGAGACCAGAGCTGAGGTTCCACTGCTCTTAATGCCAGAATTGGGTGAGGACCCAGGCCACTCAGAGGGCAGGAAATAGAGGCTGGCTGGCCACTCAGCCTTCTAATATGCATTTGATTTTGTGCTGGTTGCGAGTGATCTCTAGGGCCTGGCCCCTCTGTCCCCTCATGCTGGGGGTGGCTGCTTTGCTTTGTGATGACCAGCTTTCCTGTTCTTTCTTGTGGCCCTGCCCTCTTATTTCCTTGTTCAGCTGTCTTTGATCACTCTACTGAGTGCCCTCCCTAGACCTCAGCAAGGCTGGTGTAAGAGGGACAGGCCCCTTCCACCCAGGGGTAGCTGCTGTTGCAGGGCCTTCTGGCCACGACCCTGCAGGAGTGGACTCATAGGTATACGTCACGTCACCATCTCTTCTCCTTTGTCTTTCAGTGAAGATGCCATGAGAAAAGCTGGCGTGGCCCACAGTAAATCCAGCAAGGATATGGAGAGCCATGTGTTCCTGAAGGCGAAGACCCGGGTAAGGCCCTGGTGGGTGGAGCCTCTGTCAGAGAGGCTCAGGAAGAGAAGGATGTGATGCAGATCTGGAAGCCTCTCTGCCTGGGAAGTGGGGATGGGGTGGCTTCTCACTGCTTGATCCCAGACACTATTGGCTTTGCCTGCAGCACTCTGGATCTTGTGTCTACTCTACAGATACAAGGAGGATACTGGGGGGACTCTCAGGATACAGGCCCAGCCTCTGACCCCAGACTTCACTGCCAGCACCCATCATTCATGGTTAGCTCCCATGAATCTTGTAGAGCAGTCACTCAGGCCCCAGCTGCTCCTTCAGAAGGGACAAGTGCTCTGCGTAAGAACTGGCTTTGGCCTTAGGCCTCCATGGGAGTCCTCACCTAAGCCCCACAGGGCCATGACACGTGGGCCCAGAAGAGTTCCTGTCCCCTTTAGTTAAGTGATGAAGGTGATGCTGGTGGAGATTGAGGCCTTGATCTAGGAACCAGGTAGGAATATCACAGGTGGAGGAGTTAGGGAGGGTTTCCACTGTGTGAGCTCTTGTCCTGGGCCAGGCAGTATGGGCTTCATGGGACTAACTCCTTCCATCCATGTGCTCTCCCTGGGGCGGAGCTGTTTTAGTAGAAATGAAACAGAACAGGCACAAAGAAGCCAAGCTGCTTGTCTAAGGTTACCTAGCTTTTGCAAAGTGAGGCTGATACCCGGGGCTTTTGTTCTATACCACACCTGCCCTCTCCCCCATGCAGATCCTGACCTCTGACCCTCCTCTGCATTGAGTGTGCTCTGGGCATCTTGTGCCCAAGTGCAGTGTTGGAATTCTAGGACATGTTTGTGTGTCACGAATTAAAAGCAGTTGTTATTTATGGCCCTCGATTGGATATTGGCTTGGATAAACCAACTGTCAAGACATATAGAAGTCAATTGGGGAAATTTGAATATGGTCTGAACATTTAGATAAGGTGAACATTTTGTAAATGGAGAGATAAGAAATCACAGGCTGACGAAAGCAGGTTCCAGAACAGAAACCATCTATACAGTCTGGTCTTATACAGAGGTCAGAGCGCATGAGTGTATGTTTGTGAGCTCTGTGCCCTGGATGTATATAAATATTTTCTTTTATAACAACTTTATTGAGATCTACTTCATATATTATACAATTTACCCATTTAAAGTGTGCGATTCAGTGGTCTTTAAGATATTCAGTGTTGTCTAACCATCACCACAATCAAAATTTTATAACGTTGTCTAAAAGAAACTTCATACCCATTTGCTGTCATGCTCCATTTTCCCTGGACTCTTAGCCTTAGGCAACCACTAATCTGCTTCCTGTTGCTACGAATTTGCCTTTTCTGAACTCATATAAATGCAGTCATACAATATATGTTTTTGCAACTGGTTTCTTTCATTCAGCAAACTATTTTCAAGGTTCATCCATGAACCATGTTGTAGCATGTACTTCAGTCCTTTTTATTGCTGGTTCCTTTTCCTTATATGGATATGCCACATTTTATTTATCCATTCATCAGTTGAACATTTGGATCGTTTCTGCCTTTTGGATATTGTTAATATTGCTGCTATAAACATTTGTATACAAACTTTTCTGTAGACATACATGATTTTATTTTTCCTGGGTATACACCTAGGAGTGGAATTGCTGGGTCATATGGTAACTCTGTTTAACCTTTTGAAAAACTGCCAGATTGTTTCCCAAAGCAGCTGCATCGTTTTACATTCCCACCAACAGTGTATGCGGTACTAGTTTCTCCACTCCTCATAAACACTTGTTATTGTCTTTTTTTATTATAACTATCGTGATAAGTATAAAGTAGTATCTCATTGTGGTTTTGATTTGCATTTCCCTGACAACTAATGATATTGAGCATCTTTTTTATGTGCTATTGGCCATTTGTATATTTTCTTTGGAGAAATGATTATTCAGATCCTTTGCCCATTTTAAAATTGGGTTCTTGGTCTTTTTCTTTAGACTGCTAGAGTTCTTTATTTTGGATACATCTCTTATTAGATATATAATTTGCAGATTTTTGGGGGGATGAGATGTTTTTGTTGTTTTTGTTAGTTCGCATTTTCTTAAAAGAGATTTGATGAGGCCTTATGGAACTTATTTTAGCTTTTGAAATGCAGAACTTGTTGGTTCAATATTGTTATCTGTTGTTTCATAAAGAACTACCCCAAAACTTAGTGGCCTAAAGCAATGAGTTATTTCTCCTGATTCTGTGGGTCAGGACTTGGGGCAATCAGAATTGCCTGTTTGGCATCCTGCTGCTATCACTTGTGACCTCTCATGAAGCTGCATTCAGCTTGTAGCTGTGCTTGGACCACATATTGTATAATTGCCTTCGTATAAAATACCTAGAATAGGTAAATCTCTAGAGACAACGTATTAGTTTCCTATAGCTGCTTTAACAAATTACCACATACTAGCCATGGCTTTCGCCTCTTGGTTCAAGGCTCTGTCCTTGTCATCTTTCCTTTTTTTGAAGAATAGCACATGTTTGCATCTGAGTAGTTTTATCAGCCTGTTTCCTGCTAGTAGAATTTTAGGAATCTGACACTCTTCTTTGATTTCATCCAGTTTCTGTCCCTTTCAGTCCAAACTGGCAGTGTTCCTGCTATATAACACTCAAAAATCTTGTGGGTCTCCTGTGTATGTGACAGGATTCATGTCATTAGACAAGAGATTTCTTCTCAGATCTTTGCTAGATCATATAATTTCTGTTCCTGGTTTCTGTGAGACGATTGAGGGGATTCATGAATTACATGCCTAATCTCTTTGCCACTAGGAAAATTCGCCTGGCCACACCCTAACAGTGAATCTCCTAATATTAACTTTTTTTTTTTTTTTTTTTTTTTTTTTTTTTTTTTTTTTTTTTTTTTGTAATTTGAGTAACCTGAGAATTTCCCAAATCAAGTCCAAGTTCCTTTTTGCTTAATGATTCTTCCCTCAATTATCTCTTTCCTCTTGCATTTTACTATAAGCAGCCAGAATAAACCAGGCCAGGCTTTAACACTTTGCTTGGAAGTCTACTTAGCCAAATATCCAGGTTTGTTGCTTATAACTTCTGCTTTCCCCACAACTAGGATACAATTCAGCAAAACTTTCTGTCACTATATGACAAGGATTCTCTTTGTTCTAGTTTGCAGGAACATGTTCCTCATTTCCTCTGAGCCCTCACCAGAAACACCTTTAATGTTGATCTTTCTACCAATGTTCTGTTTTTAATGATACATGTATTCTCTAAGGTGATAGGAGCTTTCTCTACCAGGTTCCTCACTTCTTTCTGAGTCCTAAGTGGCAGAATCTTTAACATCCATTTTCTGCCAACAGCATTGCCTCACTCGCTTCTTCCTGCCCCTAGTGAAATGGGTGTTAGATTGAAAGAGCAGAGGGTGCAGTGACCTTGTTAGCAAGACTGTGTCTGAGATGATGCCTTATATTTATATTTCTGAGTGTTTCAGTTTTCCTGTAGGGCCACTGTTGGTCAGGAGTTCAGAGAATGAGGGCCTGACTTCTCATATAAAGTTCTTTTTTCACTTATCGCCCAATGGTTCCATCATTTAACTGGCCATTGTAAAGTGGCAATTGTCCTTAATTACAGCTTTTCTTCTATATTTATTAGTTGGAATTTTTCTGCAAAGAAGAGTTTTTTTTTCTTTTATCATCAGGGCTACTTGGTTGCTTGAAACACAGCCTGTTCTGGACCACCAGGAATGCTTTCCTATCCATCGTTTCTTTCCAGGGCAAGGAAAGATACCCGCTTTGATACCCCCAGGGTGACCAGTGGGGCTTAGGGATGAGGATAAGGATGGGTCACCTGACAGTAACATTATGAGTTTGAGGCACTGCATCTAGTGTGTTTCAGTTCATGGTAGTTGTTCGTTTTGTTGCTTAGACGATCCCATCCTCATCCAGTGGCAACCCCAAAGCACCGTCCTGTCCCTCTTGGTGCCCCTTATCACCAATCCTTTCATCTTTCGTAGCTTGCCTGCCATCTTGGCCTGGAATCGGCCATTCTTCTAAGGAACTGTGATTCCTTTTTGAGAGTGAAATGGTATTTAGAGCTTGCATTCTGGGCACTGGCTGCTCATGGCATCTAAGTGCTTTTTTTGTTAGCAGAGCTAAGAAGTAACGTTTTTGAAAAACAGCCACCTCAAAAACCCCGTAACTTCACACTGATGTTTCAATTCAGATTTAACCTATGGAGTTTTACTTTCATTTTAAACATGTACCTTTTCTCTTACTATGAATATCTTGGCTTCTCATATCATTAACATATTTACTTACTTGCTTTAAAATACTTTCAGAATAAACAGACTAATGTTACCACCAAATTAGTGACAAATAATAACAAAATGTGGGATGAAGTTTATGGTTTCTTTTTGCTTTCTTTTTTAAGTTTAAGACTTCTTTGCATCTCTGTTTGTCCTTAAAATGTATCCCTTCCACTAAGGATATGGAGTGTTTTGTTTGCTTTTTTGTTTTTTAAAATGATCACTAAAAGGACTTCTTTTCCCTGTGTGATTCTGACACCAACTTGATATCTAGCTCATATGTTTTGGTTTATTTTGAATTTTTAGGAATTATACTTATTTCTTTCTATTTGGTTTTATTTTGATTTGGTAAAAGATTTATATACTTCCAGTGTGAAAACCTTATAACAAAATGGGAAATCTCATTTCCAGCCGGTTCCTGGTACCTCTGGGGGTAACTTTGATCTTCAATTTTTGTTTATCCTTCTGGCATTTCTTTTTGCAGATATAAGCAAATATATATATTCAGATTCCCTGTATCTTAATCCAGAGGTGTTAGTGTGTGGCATGTGGTATTTTATGTGGAGCGTATGTGTGTCCCTGCTGCTGCTCGCTCCACATCCATGTGGGGAGACGTTTTTCACCCTATTGTTGGGCCCTTATTGCAAGGCTTGTATAGGTCAAGCAAGTATTTATGTAAAGTGTTTTCCCTCACATTTCTGTCTTCTTATCTGCAAACCAGGCGTGTTAGTAGTACCTGCTAATAGAGTGGTTGGAAGAACTAAAAGCATTAATATATGTAAAGTGTTTTAGGGCTGCACCTGGCACCGTATCAGTGCCAGTGTTAGCTGTTATTGTCTGTGGCCAGGTAATACCCAGCCTCAAGTGCAGCCTGAACACTTAAATTTTTAATGTCGGGCAGAGGAGGTAGTAATGGTGAGTGAAGATAAGGAAGGTTACATGCTCTTTAGCCTGTTTCCTGGAACACTCCTGGAGAGGCGGAGTGCTTTGGAGCAGAAGGAGATACCGTAACCTGTCTGTCTGGATGGGGGGGCCCAGAATTCTCACACCTGGAGAGGCCAGTCAGGATGCCAGCATTCTGCAGATGGAGATTTAGGAGCCTGGGGAGTAAGATAGGCCAGCTGGGGGAAATCAGAGGTGCAGTTCAGATCCCAGCCTCTCCCGTGGAAAGGGGCGCTTGCAGCAGACCTGCAGTGCTCAACCCCCAGTGGTTTCTGAGTGACCAGGCCTTTGCAAGAACTTTGAAGGCGTATTTCACCCATAAGAAAGCCCCTTGGCAGCAGTGTGACTAACTGCTTCCTGCCCTCATTTCTCCTGTCAGATGGTAGCATTCCTCCTTCCTCCTCAGGCCTTCTCACATTGGTCTGGTCCTGAGAGCTTCCACTTCACCAGGGGAGCAGCCTCAGCCAGGAGCAGACTGTGCTGGCCGTCCCCACTCTGGGCCAAGGAATGACGCTGGGACTGCAGTGTGGTGGCTTCCGCGCACCTGGCTCTGAGCCCTCGGTCCTGGTTTATGCGAAAGGTTTTGGGGACATGGTCTTGAGCCCCATTTACTGTATCTTGTGTCTGAGTGAAAGTATTTGGTTGCTGCTTCTCGTTTTACCTTTTATGAAAGTAGAGAAAACAACAAATTCTTTTAAGGTGTCGCCCACCTAAAAGATGGCCCAAGGCCTTAACCAGACACCAGACATTGACCTGGCAAGCTCCCAGTCCTGTCTGCTCATACTTGGCCACTTCATTTCCCGAGCTCACTAACACCACCTTCCTTGCTTCCCATACTGTCGTCCTTCATGGAGCAGCCTCGGCAGGTGGTCCGTGTGCAGGAGCCCAATTCCGGGGCCCCTTCATTCCCAGCACATTCTCTTTTCTACCAGAAATTGATGGAGTTAGTCAGAAATTGAGGATGTCGACAGCACCTCCTGAGTGTCCAGAACCTCACTGTCCTTTTCTGTACCCGCTTCCTTTGACGTGCTTATCATCCCAGCCTTACCATTTCCCCTGGGCCTTTTACCCTCCTAGTTTCCTCTGTTGATTCCCCTGGCTGAAAAAAAAAGTGGTGAGGTGAAGTTTGGAATAGATGAGGGATAATAAAGATTTAAAAAGTGTGCGTATAGTTTTACATTCATCTGAGACCACTCATTTTATTTCCCTTTCCATGAGGTGTTCCTACAACAGAGGTTCACTGAGTGTCCCTAGGCTCAAAGGCATGTATCTCGGGGCAGTACCATCACAGGTGCTGAAGCTGGGTCCTAGGTCTCATCAGTCTGCTGTTAAGTGGACTGTCACTGTCAGTAACTTAGGAGGAGGGTCATGTGAGGAGGGCAGAGAGTGAAGGTTTTGCCCTTTCGAGGCTGCCTTGCTGGAAGGATGGGCATTTTGAGGAGGAGAAGGATTGTATAGCTTCTGCGAAATTAGATTTTAACTCAAACAGATTTTAACTTTGTTGACGAGAGGACAAACTCACAGTAATGATTTCCCCGGAACACCCGGGAGTGAGTGTCCTTGGTTGCAAAGAGGACAATTGGTGGAAGGCAAGCCCTGCTGGGCAGTTCCAGAAACACAGCAGCTGGGCAGCTGGGACAAAGACAGCCCTAGGCAGTGGCCTTCACCTGCCATCCTTGAGTGGCCTCGTGTCCTCTTCCTTGCCTGTGTAGTCAATTCAGATCTCCAAAAGCAGAGCCAGGGACTTCCAGATTTGCATGCAAGTGTGACGTCAGCAGTGAAAAAGCAACAGGCTGGCTAGTAAAAGCAGAAGTACTTGAATACAGATAGTGCAAAGACAAAAGCAGCCAGCCCATGACTTCTAATATGCCTTGGGACCTTAGGACATTTCCTCATCCCCTCTAGACCTACTGTCCCCTCTGAAAAGAATGGTGCCTGAGCTGGCTCTTGGGCCTCTTAGTTAAGTGTTTACAGCAGGGCGGAAGGAGCAGCAGTTTGAAGTCTCTGGGTACCCTTCTTGTTTTTCTGTTTCTCTGTGCCATTTGTTGGTCTGCTGTAGCTCAGCACGGACAGCTTTTCTCTGAGATCTGGATTCCAGAGGAGACTGAACCAGGCAGAGCATTGCCATCAGGGCAAGTGGGCCTCAGCATGGTGGCATGGGAATTAAAGGGGGTGGCAACGGGGAATTACATGGCCTTACTTCATCTGGCATTAAACTGCTTCCTGTGTTTACTTTTAGGACGAATACCTTTCTCTCGTGGCCAGGCTCATTATCCATTTTCGAGACATTCGTAAGTAAAATTTTATATTTCTGGATGGTTGTGAGAAGCTGGCTCTGTCGTGTGGTAGTGGAGACTTTCTTGGGCACAGTGCTTGAGTTAGAATGTCTGTGTAAAAGCTCCTGCTTTCTGGGATGTTCTTTATTACTTTGCATTTGATTCCATCTCTCCCATCCTCCTAGAGCCTCAGCCTCAAAAATACTGATTTTACCATAATGGAAATGTTAGCCTCAAAGTGGTTTCAACGGGACTGCTGTTTCTGCTTGTCCATTTAACTTCCTTTTTTAAAAGAACCATTACGTTTATCTCTAGGCAGTTCTTAAATAAGCAGTTTACCCTGGAACAGAAACTTCCTTCTCTAATAGTTGGTTTTATTGACCCAGGGAGGCCTGACCTAAATGTGTTTCTGTCAGGCTGGAAGCTTCTAAGGCCAACTTCCTAAATCCTGCCGCTAGCTCCCTGCCATGATAAGGGTCACCCGACCCCTGCCACATTCTGGCTCCTCTGATTCCCAGGATCCTGCTCTGGTCCTATCAGCCAGGCAGAGCAGCAGCTTTGGCTCTTCAGAGTGTTAGGGTCCTGGTGGTTTTTAATGTGTTACGTATGAGCACATAGACACTGAGCGTTCCTAGATGGCTGCAGTCTCTAGAGGAAACCGGCGGGCAGGGCACTTTGTGTTTTCAGCCAGTAGCGCCTCCTGCCTGCCTACAGTTGTGTGGCCGTGGGAGATGGCCTTCTTCTGACACAGCCTGTCCTTGGAGCAAATCCAGTTGCTGTTCCCCTTTGATTGTAGAGGCAGCTACATCTTCAGTGTCAGTAATGCCAGGCTAAAGAAGAATCCCAGAGCCCCTGTGTGGCCAGTAGATTTTGCTTCTTTCCACACTAGCTTTTTACCAGAATGTCCAACAAGGTGACCTTTACTGGATTTTTTTTTTTTTTTCCCCCTGTGTTTGGGAAGATCCTATGGAGTATAGAACAAGAGGAGATGGGACTAGGAGCCTGGGGAATGAGAAGCTTGGATGAACTGCCCTGGTTTGTCCTGGCAAGGGGCTCTGCTCGTCGGGGCTGGGCTGACCTATTCGGAGGTGTCCCTGGCATGTTGGCAGACACAGTGCTGTGGGCTGCCGTGTCCACAGCCGCCTCACCAGCTCTTCAGGGGAGTGTAGAAGTGGTGCGGCAGTTCCCTACCTGGTGCTGGGGCCAGCTAGATCTGGCTTCGAGCCAACCTTGGCCAGCCTCATCTAGAAAATGGAGATGCTCCCTCACAGAGCAGGCTGAAAATGGAGGTGTTGTGGAATTCTTAGCACCATTCTGAGTCCATCATGGATCCCTGTGGCTTTCTTGTTTGCTGCTCAGGGCCCATGGTGAGATTCTGGACCTGGGAAAGAAAGAGAACTAGAATAGGTCCAGAGTAAGTGAGCTCTACCTGGGGGCAGTTCTCTGGGGCCCCAGGCTGACCTTGAGGCGGTTTGGCACCATCTTTCCCCAGGCCCCCTTGTGTGTCAGCACTACCAGGAATGGGATGGACCAAATATTTCTCTCTCTCTCTCATACATTTACTCATGCTCTGAAGCTCTGAGGTGTTTTTATCTAGTTTCTAGGCAGGGGCAGCTCAGTTTTAGCAAATGATCTCTAGGCAAATTCCTGTAAAACTGACTTACTATGGAAATATGTGGTTATGTAAAACTGTTTACTTTTTTTTTTTTTTAGATAACAAGAAATCTCAAGCTTCTGTCAGTGGTGAGAATTTTTCCTTTTTGAATTAAAATTGATCCCAACCTTGGATCTGGGACAACAGGAATGAGATTGTGGCTCCTGCGTGTGCCTGGGGTTAAGCTGTTACTAGAGGTGAAAGTTCACAGAGAGAAAAACTCTGGCTGACCGTGAGAACTGTGGAGCTGCACCCCTCCCTCCCCATCCTTCCTCTTCCTGGCAGTCTGTGCCGTCATATGATACTGCCCCATCACGTTTCACTTAAATACTGTTTTTGACCAACAAAAAGATTGTAAAAACTCACATAATTATTGAGACCTTGTCTAAAATTTTGAGCTCTCTGGGAGAGAACCGTTATGGTATATTCAGTATAATAACATGTAGTGGTAGTAGTTCTTAGGGAATAGCTGTGAATTCACTTTCTTAAGTTTCTAGTTTCTTTGTAAGTTAAAAACTATCATTTATTTTTACTTTTTAATTTCAAGGCTTTATCAGTTAAGAGGAACACTATCTGATGATTCATCCCTAATTTCACTGACTGAGCTGCCAGTGAAGGAGTTTAGGTCTAAGATGGCCAACTAAACCCTGACCTGTTGGGAAAGGAGTCAGCCTGCTATGCTGTTTGTCTTAACATAGGCAGCAGAGCTATATATGTCAGATGATTGCCAATGATTGCCTTGGCCAAGCTAGCTCCATCTGCCTGTGTGGACCCTGTCTCCCCTCAGGGTATCTGCATATGCAGTGATTCTTAGCCAGCTGGGGCCAGGTGGGATCAGAGGACATGGCCGGGAGAATTCTGGGCTCTTGGCATTGAAGCGTGGGGTCCTTTGGTGCCCGGTTCTGTCACAAGGTGCCCAGGCCAGGCCATATCTGTCTGTAGGTAGCCTTTTGCTGTGAGCCACACTCATGAGAGTGTGTGACAAGAACCTTGGGTTCCTTGTCCTGAGTCACAGAATTGCTCACTGAACTGAGTCCGCAGACCTTGTGGATTTGGCAGTGTCGTAGTGCCCCTCAACACTGTGTGGACCCCTTTTTCATGCCTTAGCTTTTGCTGGTTTGGTGGCCCTGGATGTAGGAGTCTATCTTAAGAACTGCCCCTCTGTGGAGGTCGTGCACAGATTAGCAGAGATGGGCTTCTGGTGTGCAGGGAGACATGTAACCTCCCTGGAGAACATCCGTCTGTCTCCCTGGCTTCTCTGGCCCCTGTGTTCTTGTTACTCAAAGAAGGGCTTTTGTGTGCTCACACAGCAGGAAGGTTTGTACAGCCAGGAGGGGTAGGGGCCGCTGCCTGCCCTGAAGGGCAAGTTAATCCCTCAACATTAGGACCCTGGCACAGGCCAGACCAGGACTATGGCACATGCTCCCTGCCCAGTAAGGCTCATGGTCCAGAAGCAGTAACAAATATGCCCAACATCTTGTCCCTTGGGGTGTGATAGACAGTTGGGCTTGGGTTTGGGAGGCTTCCAGGACTCTGTTCTCTCACCATTTGGGGCTTTGAGGGGCTCAAGCCTGGAGACAGCATGGGGCAGGTGTTCTGAAGCCTCATAGCCTTTGGAGCCTCGTCCACTTTGTGGGCGCTTCCTTGAGACGCTGTGCCCTTGTGTTCCCACAGACCCTATGAATGCACTACAGAGCCTGACTGGAGGACCTGCTGCAGGAGCAGCTGGAATCGGCATGCCTTCTCGGGGCCCAGGACAGCCCCTGGGCGGGATGGGAGGCCTTGGCGCCATGGGGCAGCCAATGTCTCTCTCTGGGCAGCCACCCCCCGGCACCTCAGGGATGGCGCCCCACGGCATGACTGTCGTGTCTACGGCAGCTCCACAGAGTGAGTACCAGGCTTCTCAGAGAACCTGCCACACTCTCTGGTGGCAACGCGGATTTTATTCCTTTGCTTAAGATGGTGTCGAGAAGAGCCTGAGAGAAGCTCCAAGGAGTTCTGTTTTTTTATCTTTTTGTCTCTGTTGGTGTGGGGAAGAGAGGCTCTAAACCTTCTTTGGGCTACCAGAAGGGTTAGGTGACACTGAGCTCCTCCTTTTACCCCTGGGTGGGAATGGAGGACTCTTAAGGAGGTTGGGGTGGCATGGGGCCACATCCAAGGGCTTGTGTTTTGTAGCCGAAATAGACAGTTGCATCTCAGGGTAGTCTTGGGGCCACAAAGAAGTGCTGTCAATGCCAGACTTCCCCGATCTCAGGAGCTGTCCCTTCTAGTGCTGCCCCTGCCCTCGCTGCGCTTCTCTGCAGGACACAGCCCTGTGTTCTCTGCCTAGCCACAGCTGCCAGGAGCTGGGCAGCAGCGCAGGCCTCCCCTTTTCCAAGACCTGTTTTGATGAACCTTTGGTTTTCGCATTTATTCAGTACTTGTAATGTACTTCAGGACCACAGACGGCATCGGTACTTTTTTCCCTCTATACAACATTTTATGTTTGAAATACTTTGCGTCATAGGAAGTTGCAGAATAGCAGAGTTCCCGTGTGCCCTTCACCGAGCTTCCCCAATGATAATATTTTAGTACATCATCACAACTGAGAAATGAACAGTGGGACAATACTGTCAACTCAGACATTCAGACGTCACCAGTTTTTACATACATTCTTGCACATGCACTTACGTGTGTGTAGTTCTGTGAGATTTTATCATGTGTGGAATAGAGTAACCACTGTCACAGTCAGCATGCAAAACTGTTCCGTCACCACCAATAAGCTGTCGTATGCCTCTTAATCACACACACTCCGCCAACCCTCAGCCCTGGCAATCGCTGATGTATTCCCTGTTGCTATAATTGTGTCACTTTGTGAATGTTCTCTCTGGAATCATATAGTATCTGACTTTTTGAGATTGGGTTTTTTCATTCAGCATAATGCCCTTGAGATCCTTTAAGTTGTACCAGTAATTTGTTCCTGTTCATTGCTTAGTAGTATTCCATGGACTAAGTGTACAAAATTTACTTATTCATTTACCCTTGAAGGGACATTTGGGTTGTTTACAGTTTGGAGCTGTTATAGATAAAATTGCCATGAACACTCGTGTGCAGGTTATGGTGTTTCAGTGTATTTTTGTCACGTATCCCTTGCAGTAACCCTATGAAGAGGGCAGTGTCACTGACCCGAGCACCCTGTTCTTTGTTGGGTTTACTTTACAAGCATACCCTTGCTCGTCTCAGAGACAACATATGTCCTCATTCCCACTCATTCCTGCACTGGAACCTTCTATCCCCAGCCATCGTATCTTTATTCTCCTCTCTTTACCCATCCCTTTCCATCTGACTCTTAGCTCTTTGCTCAGTTCTTCTTCTTTAGGTCCTTTGTCCCCTTCTGTCTTATCCGCACACCTGACACAACAGGGAAGCTTATGGAAAAACACACAGGAGATGCGCTGGCCCTGGCTCCTCTTTACATTATACTCTGTTCTGGTTGAATTTCTTTTGTCACAAACTTATAATAAAAAAAGTTTTAAAATGTAAGAGTTTAGTATGTTCCCATGATTTGTCTTGCAGTCTCACTCCTAACAGAAGTTCAGTGGCAAAGCTTTGGTATCCTGCACATACCCTCCCCAGTCTGACCTTGACCCACATCCTGTTTTCAGCTTCTGAGGGACCTGTAACCTGTATAGCTCTAGGAAAGGGTTGAAGTGGGTTCTCTACTTTCATGTACTGCTGCAGCCTCTGTCAGAGACTCTCCCTCCCTGACTTTGATTTGAGCTTTTACCTGCCTCGTCTACCTGAAATAGGTGTTGTGGCCTGATGGGCATTTGCTGTCCCTTTTTTCGACACTTTCTCCAAATGCCGCTCTGTGATTAAGGCCAGGGCCTGGGTCAGAGGTTTAGCTGGGGCTCTCAAAGGGCAGTCCATGGCACGCTGTGATAGTCCCCAGGTGACCTGGGTTATTCAAGGAAACACAAACGCTAACTGTGAATGAGGCTGTAGGCTGGGGTACAGGGTTAGAGTGAGACTTAACTTTTCACTCTGTATGCTTTCGTTCCTCAATGAATTTTATATCATATACATGTAAAACTGACTTTAAATATAAGTACTATTTCTGGCTCTGACAGACTGGGTGCTGAAGAACCCTCCTTCTGGATAACTAGATTTGGGTAGGCTGCATTTTGGATTG